AAACGCAGAGATTGCTCTACAGTGATGCCCGAGGAACTAGCTAGAATTATACCTCCCGGTACAATATATATATATATATATATATATATATATATATATAACCGGCGTCATTTAAAAAATTTGGTTGATTATAGTTATTATCTGAAAGCATTCACCCTTCTATCCCTCCACCTCACTCTCATTTCTCTCACAGTTCCCTTTCACTAGATTAGTTCATAGGATCCTCTTTCTAATGCTATGGGATTACAATTGGATCTACAGGCAACCAAGCAGGATATTCTCCCAACGAAACTGAAAGAGTATTTAATACAGAAGACAAGTGATGATAGACAAAGTATCTAAGAAGTTCAAGAAATGGTGGTGATATGAAGATTTCAAGAAAGGAAGAGCTTCTTTTCAAAGTTTGCAGTTTGCACATCCGGTAAATGGAAATTCCATTTACAGCTGAGAATTAAAACACTTGAATGACACAATTGTCAGAAAAGTCACTAATTCTGAGAACAAGTTGAAGTATCACTTGTTAACTAAGGACTTGGTTATTGTCTGTAAATACACAACACACCACAACTTTAAAGAAGTTGTACTAGAAGCATAAATTGTATATCCAATTCTTGGCACCGGCAACACCAATTTACTATTTCCTGTGACTATGGTTATGCCACAAAGCCACATTGCATGTTAAGTAATGAATCATCTTTTCTTGCTTGTGGCTTGATATGGTGCAGAATTATTCTTAACTCGCAAATACCATAATTTTTAACTATTTTATTTTGAATATCAATTGTATCATCGCAAATATGCAGTAAGAAACTCAAATCTTCCAAACCCAACATCAATAAGAGACATCTACCGATAATAATGATTAAAAATGACCTGAACAAACTTATCTTTTTACAAGCTGCCAACATTACAACGACAAGGGGGGGGGGGGGGGGGGGGGGGGTGGAAAGAAAGAAAAAAAGAGAGAGAGAGAGAGAGAAAAGGATTGAGTGAAGCTTTTATACAGAATTGGATACAGGCCATAGTTCTAATCCTTGTAAAACCAGAAACATAACATTCATGGCTTGCTCTATGATGGTTATGCAATGTCATGGTACATTAGGAATTGGGCTAAAAGCAGCAGCCTCTAACTCCATTATGTCTATGTCATTGGTCACTGCTGCGATGCTATGTGTGATTTCTCTCAATCCCTTGTTTTCATTCCGTACTGCTCATTTGCATGTTAATAGCTCTAGTTTCTGACTCACCACTAGAACTATTCGACAACAATTCAATTTGGGATCCTCTTGATATCTCACTTGAAAAATTGTATTCTCTGGTATACGTATCAAAATCAGAATCAACAAATGTGCCATTGGCCATCCTTCTGAATAACATAATTTCTTTATCATATTGTCCGGAATTATAAACCATGCTCTGACCATATTTCACACCATTAGATAGATCAGATGCTTCGTCTGCACAATCCAAGACTCGTACCACCTGATATCAACCACGAGAAACATTAGTAAATATTGTCAATGTATCAAATGTAAAAACAGAAAGGAAAAAAAAAAAAACTGGTTTTATTCAAATCCAATGAAAATATATACATGCAGCTGTTATATACAGTTCATATTACAACAGAATCGTTTCCATCCAAATACAACTGTCATAACAGATTATCAGATATATAACTAACCAAGTGTTTGTACTTCGAAGAAGAAAATAGAAAGAAAAAATGAAACAAGTTTATCCAAAAACTAAAATTAGTTTATGCATAAACTATTATGTAGATATTTTCAGTTTTCACATATTAGCTTGTCTAAAAGCTAATTTTTTTATTTATACATAAGTTAATTTCAGTTTATGCAAAAATTAATCATCTTATTTCATTTTCTTCTTCTTCTAAAATTGTTTATAGAAAAAGTTATCGAATCACTTACTAACTAATGGTGTGGTATCTAATAGTAAATGACTTAAATGGGTTGAGATATCATAGAATTGTTAAAGTAAGATAGACATGTCAAGTGAAAAGAAGCAGAAGCTTAAATAACAGATGGATGTTATGATGGCACTTGAACATAGCTCTTTGGTATTGTTATCACCTGAACCATACGAGGCCGTCTAGGAGCTGAGTGGCGAACACAAGCTGCAGCTGCCTCAATCATTCTGAACATTTCACTCTCCACAAAGCGTTTTTCGAGTCTTGGGTCTGTTAGTTCCCTAAAATCACGTGTCTCAATTGCACGAAGGAGAAGTGGACGAGCCTGTAGACACAGGACAATCTCATAAGAAATAGTGGCCAGTCATTAGTTGAACATGTTAATTTGTGACACAAATATAATTTGATTTTTATAAAGTGGACTTTTAAAATTAGTAGTTTTATTCATAAACTTGACTTTCATTTTTGCATCACTGAGGAAAAATGGCCAGTAAAATAAGTAATTATTAAGCGATCGTAGATTACAACTAATTTTTATATGATATATAATCAAGTGTTATTAAAAACATTTGTACATTAAAAAACTTAAATTCATATCATATAATGATCAAGTGAGACCATTAACGGTAGTCATGCACTACTTAATAATTTCTCAAGAAAAGGGTAGGAAAGCATAGAGAGAGAGAAATGATTGTTTCATACTCTCTTGCTGTTACACCTATATTTGCATTAGCCTGTATTACCACAAGTTTGAAAATAAACATTTTTTTGGAATTTCTTTTAAGAAATAATATAAATAGATGATTTTTTTAAAACAAATAAGCCGAATCAAATATTTTTAAAGGAGTTGTATTGCAAAAGCAAAATAGGACATGTGGTAGAATTGGAAGAGAGAGAGAGAGAGAGATGTGAAAGGGAGCGCAAGAAAAACAGGATATGTATAAAAAGAAAGTTAAACATGTTTTAGAAAAATGGGAGCTTACATCCCATTAATTCACACTAGTGTAATAGTTCTATGGCAAAGCCATGATAGGAGATGGAATACAAAGAGAAGAGAGAGAGGTATAAACAAAATGCAAAAAAAGTAGTATGAAAAATACAGATTCATTTTACGATTTGTAAAATAAGAAGGTATATTCTTACCCACTCAACCAAACTCTCATCTCCCAAAGGCTGAGTTTGATCAACAGGTTTCCTTCCTGTTACAAGCTCAAGGAGGACAACCCCAAATGAATAAACATCTGATCTATCCGTTAATTTTCCACTTGTTGCATATTCTGGAGCCATGTACCTGCAAAATGAAGCCAGAAATGAGTTGTAGTAATTCTAATTGCCTATTAATGTGATTGATCCTACATAAGGCATAAAGGGAAGGTTTATTCCACTACCAAAATCCAAATTTCGGAGGAAACATTTAGAGCAAGGCGAATTTTCAATTGTTCCTCCAAATTTTTTCGTCAACAAACTTGAAATGTATTTCTATTGACAACAAGTTCCAATCCCCCACGATAATCTATATACATTAGTATCTTTTGTTTATGTTAAGGCTTAAGAAGCATACCCAAATGTGCCCATGACCCTAGTTGATACATGGCTATTGGCAGCATCGGCTAGCCTTGCAAGTCCAAAGTCTGCAACCTTAGTTAAAATAAAGGGTGATATAGCATTCAGACTTTGCATATAGAGATAATTAATGTGTAAAAATTGGAAGGTAAATTTCATAATAATGCATGACAAAAAAATATCTGCATACCTGTGCCTCATAAGCATCATCTAAAAGTATGTTTGCGGACTTAATATCTCTGTGAATAATCTTTTGGCTGCCTAGAGATAGATAAAATACTTTAGCAGTTATTCATGAAAATGAAAGTTAACATTGGCCTAAGAAATTTAGACATCAAATATATAGAAAAATGGAGTAGTGTGTTTCAGGCAGTTGTCTTCCAAATCAAAATAATCTAAAAATCTCATGTACTATGAAATTCTCATTTCCCATAGCTACATCCTCAAAAAGGTTAAATATGCTTCATCTTCTAAAATTCGACTTTGTCTTTGTCAGAGTTGGTATAGTTGTAAATCTCCCACCCAAAATTTAGCTCTGCTTCTAGTTATCACCACATGGTGTTTGGAAAAATGTCCAAAAAAGCAAAGCTTAGTCAAATATTTCTATATTCTCTTTAAAATAATAAAACAGAAATAGATAAGGTGACTCAAAAGTAACATATTTCTTATAGCGTGAAGTGAACTTCATAACATTGTTGAGATTTAAAGCTAATTCATTATGTAACTTTTAGCATCTTATAGGGTTTGGAACAGTTCTCTGCTTGGAAATTTTTTCTACCCAAGTACATCCCTTCAAATATCTTTCTTCAAACATCGTACAGAGTTAAGAGATGAAAGGACACCAACATAATTAAGAATTAATGAATATCGTTTGCTCAGAATTACATGGAGCAAGATTAGGAGACTAGGAGTGTGTCTTCGCTGAACAGAAAATTATGACTCGGTTAACAATGATAACATGCATATAATTAATGCATTATGTCATTGTTAATCTCAGAATATAATTAAGTTATGGATCTAACTCAATCTTACAAAATCAGTTTGTAAGGTGAGGATTATTCCCCACTTATATACTCTTTAATTATTTTATTTTTGATCAATGTGAGATTTGAGTTTTTTTTTTTTCAATACATCCCTTTATGTCCAACATTATTGAAGTTAGTACGTGAATAAGTGGTAGATAACCCTTTTTAATAATCTATAATAGACCGGACTTAAATTTTTTCCCACATCGATTAGAGATAAGATAATTAAAAAATATTTAAATAAGGAGTAACTCTTACCTTTCAAACCGATTTTGTATAATTGAGTTAGGTTCTTAACCATATTCTAAAAGTTACTACTGTTACCATAGACTTGAAAACCAACACACATAACATAATGAGATGACTTGAAAATCAATACACATCATATAATGAGTTAAGCTAAACCTACTTAGGATCTATTTGGATAAATTTTTTCAAAAACATTTGTAAGAGAGAAAATCAAAAAGGAAAAATGAAATAACTAAGTTATTTCATAAGCTAAAATTAACTTATCATAAGTTAATTTGTATAACTTTTCTCTTATTATTTTTTTCAAAATTTTATTTCTACTTCTTTATATAAGTTAGTTTTAGTTTATAGTAAAGTTTATTTCGGTTATTTTTCCTTTTTTCTGTTTTTTAGAAGTGTTTTTGGAAATGATTATTTAAACATACTCTTAAACCTTTAGATTTGTGCAGTTGCACAATCATTTTCTGTCATGGTTTTTCAAAAATGTAGTTGTATTTCACTAGAAGAATATATAGTCCACAAACAAAAATACAAGATGTACTTACATTCCTCATGCAGATATGCCAAACCCTTTGCAGCGCCTAGTGCAATCTTTAGTCTTTTGGCCCAATCCAACACTTGCATTCTACTTCCTATAATAATGCACACATGATCATGAGAACCAAATGAAATACTTACAAAGAGAAAATATGAAGTCCATCATCAATATTTTCAAAGAAGAAAAATAAAGGGAAACTCACGTTACCATGCAAGTGATCATGGAGTGTTCCATTAGGAACGTACTCATAGATAAGAATTCTTTGGTGCTCAAATGTGCAATAACCAACTAATGACACCAAATGTCGATGATGAACTCGGCTGATGATCTCCACTTCAGCCTTGAATTCCCTCTCTCCCTGACCACCGCCAACCTTAAGCTGCTTAACAGCAACTGCTTTTCCATTTGCCAAAGAACCTTTGTAAACACACCCAAACCCTCCTTCCCCTATAACATTTTCACTAGAAAATGCATTGGTTATCTCCATAACCATGTCATAGGTGAAAACTATCTTAGCACTCTTGGGCTGAGGTGAGTCTAAATTGTTCATGCTAACGTTCCCATTTCCAAAGTTTGCAAGGGAAGGTGGCTTGCCAGGCTGCTGTACATAGTAATGCCCATTAGCACCTGATCGCCAACACAATCAGACAAGAAAATCAAATGTCGCAAGGCAATGAATAAGTAAAGAGAAATGCTGATTGGTTTGAAAAACTATTCGTAAAAGACATGAATTGAAGGTGGAAATTCTCTCAGAACAATCATTCTCCCTTTTCATATACCAACTAATTTCTGATTGGTTAAAAACTCTTTTGTTACAATTTTCAGAGAAACTCATTCATACCAAACAGCAATATTGCTGACAGCTAGAAAGACAAATCTAATGATAATGTTTGGTGGTTGATATTATTCTTTAATAAAAACTTTATTTTATCAAACAGATTTTATTATAGAAACTCAACATTTACAAATATACTCAATTGACACTTTATTTTTATTATCTATCTTTCTCTTTTTATTATATCACTTTATCTGTCATATCAATTATTTATTTCTTCTCTATTCTTAACTCTCTCATGGTGCCTACATCCTGAGTGACTTAATTTTTTCCCCTTTATCAACCTAGTAGGTTGTCCTACAAAGGGGTTAGTACTTTGTGTGAAATTTTAAAAGAAAATGTTTCTTGGACACTTAATATACCAATATACATCTAGAAAAAGAGAAGTAATAGATATAATAGGTATATAATGTGATAGAAGGAGAGAGATAAAAAGAAATGTAAAAGTTGTTAAAATGTTTAAAATATGGTCAATAAATATATATATATATATATATATATATATATATTTATTAATAGATTTCATAACTTTAATATAAATTTAGTAATTAATATATATATATATATATATAAATTTTATAATTTTACTTATTTTATTTTTTAATTCTTATAATTTAAAATAGACTTTTTAGTTTTCATACTTGTACTTTTTAACCTTTTTTAGTTTCTATTGTTAAATTCTTTATAACATCATTTTCATATGATCAATAATGTGAACTTAATTATTAAATTTATGTGACGGTGATATATTAAATTTTTTAAAAAACGTGTATCATTTGATGTTTTATTATATAATTATCAACAATTTGATAACTCATTTGAATTTAATTATACCATAATAAATATTGAGTGTTTATAAAACTAGACTCTTCAAAAAAAAATTCTCTTTAACCATTGAGTGACATATATATCATATATTTCAATTTAAAATTCAAATATCATTATCTTCATTATACATAAAAACAATTTACATATCTTGATTAACTAAATTCAAGATTGGAAGAACAGTAGCATAAAGTTTCATTCCAAGTAAAATGACTAGGAATAATAGAATTACCTGATTTAACCTGCAAATTAAGGGGTGGCATGTAGGGTGCACCGTAGGCATCCCCTCTTGGTTTCCTCCTCTTGAACGCGAAAACAAGAGTGACAGCCACAGCAACCAATGCAACAGCGAAAATCCCAGCGAGTGTATAGCCAACATATTTTGCGGAGTTATCACCAGAAGAGGATATGGGAGGGGAAGAACCACCCGCACTTGCGTTTGCATTGGATGAAGCATCACCATGCTTCGCTTGGTGGCTCGATAAACCTGGTCCCGTTAATTGTGACTTCTCGGAGGCTCCAGGCACTGAATCATTGGAGGGTACACCACGCGAAGAAGGCCTATCAGCAGGGAGCTGTGGTGGTGACTGTTTGCGAGCATAATAAGGAGGAGGAGGGGAAGCATTGTCATTCTGCATCGATAACGGTAGCCGCAACGGCGGTGGTGATGGTGGTGGTGACAATGATGGTGATGGTGGAGGTGGTGGTTCTAAATCTTTAGATGGTGGGGGTGGCGGATGCTTCGATGATGGTGGTGGAGGTGGTGGTTCTAAATCTTTAGATGGTGGGGGTGGCGGATGCTTCGATGATGGTGGTGGAGGTGGTGGTTCTAAATCTTTAGATGGTGGGGGTGGCGGATGCTTCGATGATGGTGGTGGAGGTGGTGGTTCTAAATCTTTAGATGGTGGGGGTGGCGGATGCTTCGATGATGGTGGTGGAGGTGGTGGTTCTAAATCTTTAGATGGTGGGGGTGGCGGATGCTTCGATGATGGTGGTGGAGGTGGTGGTTCTAAATCTTTAGATGGTGGGGGTGGCGGATGCTTCGATGATGGTGGTGGAGGTGGTGGTTCTAAATCTTTAGATGGTGGGGGTGGCGGATGCTTCGATGATGGTGGTGGAGGTGGTGGTTCTAAATCTTTAGATGGTGGGGGTGGCGGATGCTTCGATGATGGTGGTGGAGGTGGTGGTTCTAAATCTTTAGATGGTGGGGGTGGCGGATGCTTCGATGATGGTGGTGGAGGTGGTGGTTCTAAATCTTTAGATGGTGGGGGTGGCGGATGCTTCGATGATGGTGGTGGAGGTGGTGGTTCTAAATCTTTAGATGGTGGGGGTGGCGGATGCTTCGATGATGGTGGTGGAGGTGGTGGTTCTAAATCTTTAGATGGTGGGGGTGGCGGATGCTTCGATGATGGTGGTGGAGGTGGTGGTTCTAAATCTTTAGATGGTGGGGGTGGCGGATGCTTCGATGATGGTGGTGGAGGTGGTGGTTCTAAATCTTTAGATGGTGGGGGTGGCGGATGCTTCGATGATGGTGGTGGAGGTGGTGGTTCTAAATCTTTAGATGGTGGGGGTGGCGGATGCTTCGATGATGGTGGTGGAGGTGGTGGTTCTAAATCTTTAGATGGTGGGGGTGGCGGATGCTTCGATGATGGTGGTGGAGGTGGTGGTTCTAAATCTTTAGATGGTGGGGGTGGCGGATGCTTCGATGATGGTGGTGGAGGTGGTGGTTCTAAATCTTTAGATGGTGGGGGTGGCGGATGCTTCGATGATGGTGGTGGAGGTGGTGGTTCTAAATCTTTAGATGGTGGGGGTGGCGGATGCTTCGATGATGGTGGTGGAGGTGGTGGTTCTAAATCTTTAGATGGTGGGGGTGGCGGATGCTTCGATGATGGTGGTGGAGGTGGTGGTTCTAAATCTTTAGATGGTGGGGGTGGCGGATGCTTCGATGATGGTGGTGGAGGTGGTGGTTCTAAATCTTTAGATGGTGGGGGTGGCGGATGCTTCGATGATGATGGTGGAGGTGGTGGTTCTAAATCTTTAGATGGTGGGTGTGGCGGATGCTTCGATGGTGATGACAACAATGATAGTGGTGGTGAATACTCCAATCCAGGAGGCGGAGGCGATGGTGACAGTGGTGGTGATGGTGGCGATAATGATGACGATGATGATGAGGATTTAGATGGAGCTGAATCCTTGTCATCATCTGAATCTTTATCATCATCTGAATCCTTATCATCCTCTGAGTCCTTATCATCCTCTGAATCCTTATCATCATTTGAATCCTTGTTATGATGACTCTTTTTTTTCTCTTTATCTTTGTGAGGTGTAGATGGAGAAGGAGAATCATCGTCCTCGTCGGAATTTTTTGGAGCCATCTTAATATATATATATATATATATATATAATATGTGTGTGTATGTGTATATTCTCACAATGTCAAGAAAATTGAACCCCTTCTTCTCCCTTCTTCACACATAAATGGGGGTAACGTGAATGGAATCGAAACGGGTTCTGGAGAACCAAACCTTGGTTTTGAGACTTTGTGTTTTCTTCCAACGTTGAATGATGGTGAAGCTGGATTCGTCGAACTGCGCAAGTTCTGCGAACAGAATTGCCAGCTCGATGCAACGCGTTGAGATGGATGAGGGAGAGAGTGTGAGTGTCTGAATTGAACGAAAGAAAACCAAAAGAAAAAAAAAATGTTAGCCATTGGAAAGTCATCCATATTATGATGCCCTACAATGTCTCTGTGTTGCATGGTTGTTTAGGGAAAGGG